CGTGCTGAATTCTTAGTCACATTAAATTTTAAATAATCGTATCTATTACAAATTTGCAAAGTCCTCAGTCTGTCGACTACTTTCTATTTGAAATCTTCGAAGCATGACTGACTCGATATTTCAAAGAAACAGGTTTCTGAAGTTCTCAGAAAATGTTGTTGTGAGAACCTACTATATAGCAGAATAGTAATAAGGTATAGCGAAATAATAATAAAATGAAAGGGCAAATACTAAGAATAGAATATCACGTTTTTCGTGAGGGCTCTATAGACGCTTAACCGACGGTCGATCGCAGGGGTGGCTTACGTAACGCTATCGCGCAAGCTGCAGGGCACACGTAATACGTAATCTTGTTAAGAATTTCCTTAGAGGTTGTAGGAGTTGTAAACCTCAGATAGATCGGTAGTGCATACACCAAGGTGTAACATGTTCCACAAGAAATATTTTACCGCAAACACGAGCTACAGTGTCTGTGAAAATATTCATAGGAGAGGGATGGTATTGATCCTTCGACTAAATAGTCAATGGAATTTCTACAAATCAAACGATTCCACGTTCTTGGAAAAATTTATGAAAATCACAAAATCACATTCACGTTTGTAGAAAAATGTCTGTGAATCAAACGATTTCACATTTATAGATAAGTGTCGGTGAATCAGACGATTTCACATTCCTAGAAAAATAGAAAAAGGAGCTGCAACCCAACTGATTTAAATATACGAATCCTTAGACTGTACGAAATCAGAATTCATTTGAATAAATTGGTTAATCCTTATCACACACTTTTCCCGTTTTAAATTAATGAATAAATTAGTGATGAATGAATCGAGTTAAATAAAAATATATAATACATCGAATTCAAATAAAATTGATGAAATAGAATGAAACTATTGATCACCTGAAGGTGAAAACAGTTTAACTCGATGACGGGCGTTAACGCATTTCCGTTTAATTCCAACGCGAAAAACGACAGCCCCATAGATCGAAGGGAAAGCGAGCGAATTAAAAATCGAATTTTCCTAAACTTCAACAGAATTTGCGTATCAAACGAGCCGTGACTAGTCGCACATGTCGCTATAATTTTAACGGCGCGTGCCCTAAGGGCTCCGTGCCCCATTCAAGGGGTGGATCGGGGCAGAAAAGACCGCAGGGTAGCTCGTGACTGAACACCAGACCGGATGCGATTCTTTTCGTTCCACTAGGGAATTACCTACGAGACCGTGCAACAGAGAATTCGTCTCGCCACTGTTGCTCGATGAACATCGTTCATCGGGAACGTGAAATATTCAGCAGAAGTCGGGTCATGGTTCGTCGAAATACCTTCAAACAGTATGGTCACGAAGGAAAAGTCAAATTTCGACGTCACTCATTTCGAAACGAACAAATTACAGGCGCGAAGGCGATTAACTCGTTCGCTTTCACTATTCTTTTAGCAACAGCCTTCAGAATGACAATGTTTCGCTAAAACTAATGTATGAAATATTTAATCAGAAAATTTTAATTACGTTCCTTAACACTAAAACTACCGAGCAGTTAAATTAACTTTTCGAAATTCCTATATAGCAGCTTGAAAAGTGCGTTTATCGAAACTTTAATTGATTTATAATTCATTTTGCGTATCGCTAAATCAATTTTCTCAATAATTTCTCAGAAACATGTGTTATCTTTTGAATAATTGCAAAATGAAGGAATCAGGAGTGGGTTATTTTGACCCGTCGGTAGTTTTACTGTTAAAACGTTTAGTTAATTTGAAAAAGAATTTAATAATTCATTTAGAAACATTTTACTAATATTGTATTAAGACACGCTACGATTACAATACTATGAATGATTATATTAAAAATTGGTAGAATAGTTAGAAATAAAATCCAATGTCAAGCTTTGGCGTAGAACGCCAAACGGTTAAGGGTTAAGAGGCAGCTGATCCGAACGTCTGTCTGTCGGATATCCGTTACTAGGATATCGCTAGACGATTCTCTGCAGCGTCTTGCCACTCTTTCAGGTAATAAGAAGCAGCCACACGGTTTCATTGTTCAACAAGAGCCAGCTAGAAGTGGTCAGGACGGTCTCTTCTGCACGCCATTGGCCCATTGTCCCGGGCACGTGCGTTTCTCGCGGCCGTGCATCTGCTCGACGAGCCAGGAAGCTCCTTTTTCCACGGATGTAACACCAGTTGTCATTGATCTCCTGTTGTTCCGCGGATCAAGCAGCAGAAATCTGGGCGGTCTTACGCGACGTCACGAGAATCAGGATCGGGACCGTGCATCTGCCATTCTGTCGTACTCACGTGTGATCCTGATCACCAGCTTGACGATATTTTTCTTTGCTTTTAAAAAAAATTTTATTTACATTAACAATACGTCTATTTACGAACAGATGAAAATAAAACTACTAATCTTATAGTAATATTTTGAAAAAATAGTAACTTAAATCTAGTTTCTCGCTTTCCGACGCTGTGATATGTTTTATATATTATATTGTCTTTGTATTTGAGCTCTTATCGAGTTCTGACTGAGGTGCCTAGATCTATCGTACGTTAAAATTGCGGAAGGAGAAGGAACTTGTTTAGTAACTCTGACGGTGTTGTGTCAGAGTGGTGATAAACATTTGGAGCTGAATTACAAATCTAAATGTCGTTCAATTCTTTTTTTAAATGTAGAATAATTCCAGGGGAGATGGCCACTTCAATAGTCTTGTATAAATAATTGATACAAATATTATTACAATCGATATTTTATCATTTGTAATTTCTATTCTTATTGATTATTTGGTAAGAATGTAAGTAAAGACCGCTTAGAAATATAATAATAATTGCATATCTCGTGTTCCAATTGTTTCAATTTGGCCATTTCCATTTTTTACCTTTGAAATCAACCTAAGCTGTGTGATAGGTTATTACTTTAAGTAACAACTTTCTCAATTAAATTCCTAGTCATTTCCCTTCCAAATATCTACTAAAGTAATATTTTTGAATTAGTATATCGTTAGTATTTTAAATAAATAAAATGGAATAAATATCGACGAACTAATCGTTATTCAGTTGCAATTGTGAAAAGTACATATACTATTAGTAATTGTACACGTAATTTGTGGAACAGAAAGAGCTGCTGAAACCCCAACAAAGCGGAATGGAGCTTTGAATGTGTCGAAGTCGACCCAATTACAACGCTCGATACATATGGAGGATTCAAGGGCAAATGGTTTCCGAAAATCACGATGGAAATGCGACAGCCAGTGGAGGACAATAGGAACAGCTGTCGGGGCCGACGAGCGATCTGTTCAATGGCTCAAGATCGAAGAACAGGGATTAAATGTGGGAATCAGGATAGAGAGAGCGTGGAAATTGTGATTTTCGGATAAGCTTGGCATATTGTTGCCGCCCCTACGTCCGACACATTCCACTGAAACTGTCGCCACGAACACAATACCTTTCGAATGGGAAAATTCTTCAGCGTACGTTCGTTAAAAATCGAACGAGAAAAGTCGAACAACCAACCTAAGAAATTTGTCTACGAATTTATTAGAAAAACTAACTACTTCAAGATCTGAAGATGACGGCAATGATTGAAATCTTTTTAAACGAAATCTTTCTATTAAACTAAACATTACTTGTGTACCCTTTTTCAGTTGCATTTGCATTTCATGCATCAGTTACAAGTATACACGGTGAGAAATCATGCTGTACGAATTTTACAAAGTTTAGAAAAAATGAATTGGATTGAATGTTTGCAATACTGTACCCTGTATTTCAAAAAAACCTAATTGACAGTTCAATGTTTGAATACATCAAATATACATTTACGAATGTAAAAATTTATAATACTAATAATGACAATGATAATAATGATGATAATATGAATAATAATAATAATAATATCTATGTAAAAGGTTGAAACTAAATTAGTAGAAATACTCTAGGTACATTCTCCGATTCATCACGTGTATAATTCAAATTTCAATCTCCAAATTGACATAAGCTCTCGCAAAAGGATCCACCGCGGCGCAGTCCCGACAAAACTAAGTTCACCGAGTTTCTCTGTCGAGGAAAGGAACCCTCCGAACTGATTCAACGAATCGGCCATGGATATCAAAGAAAATCCCGCGTCGCGTTTCGATAGAAGCAGCTGCCAAGATCTCGAGCCGATCGTCCATTGAAGAAACCAAGCCAAAGATTAAAGGGGAGGATCCGTAGAAGGGAAAACCGCCCCGGCGTGCGAGCCTGCACCCTTCTGCAGCTCGAAAAACGTGCACGTGCTGTTTTAGGGTGGTCCAGGCATCTCCAGCCCATTCGATCCACGCGAGGAACTTTGAAATTAATTCGGCACCCTGATCAAGCAATCTCGAGTACAAACTTTTCGATAATGGACTGTGAAGTACCCTCCGGCTTCTTCTCGTCTACGACTCTCCTTTGTGTAAACGCAGAAGGCTGTGCTTAAAAAATGAGACACGTGCTAGCGATTAATACGTAGACATTAATTTAACATGTTAAAAGGGTGATTTCTTATAAAATCCAATACACAAACTCCATTGAAAAGAAATGTACACTTGTTGACAATGAAATGGCAATCGTCTGAAAAAAATATCTTACGAAGTAATCGCAAATATCTAATTTCACAAATTTTACGATTACAGTACTATCCTTTTATCTTTTTTATTATTATTATTCTGTTATCTTTCTCTAACATCGTTCCCTATTACTTTCGTAACCGTTCAATCCCAACCTCTCAAGCCTTCCATACCAATCGTATTTAGACAACATTTAAACATTAAGACACAAGATAGTCAGATGTCCCTAAACAGTCTCACCTCGTACAACACGAAATAATAGAAGAGACGGGGTGTCCCTGAATATCGAGGAGCGTGCCCGGCGCCCATTCTTAATCGCTTAACACGTGCCACAGAGTTCACCCCCTGTGCTTGGGCCACGCTCGGGGGAGAACCGTCGGTTTCCGGGGGTAGCCCTGTTGCGAATGGCTCGCCGGTCCCGGCAGTTTAGACTGTCAATGTTGGTGGACGGGGACTGACAGCGGGCTGCCGGCACACACGGCGACGAATGGCCGACAGGAGCGGTAACGGTGCGTGTGTTTCTTCAGTGTCGGGCACGCAGCCAAGCAGCACGCTCGCTCGCCGACGCGTGTTTCCCTCCGTGCGAAGGGGTGGATTTCTCTGTTCCTGTCATCGTTCCACTGTCAACGACGATAACGCGCACTGCCAGTCAGCCGGGTCCCATCGGCAAGATTGAAATTCGTGGTAGAAAGTGTGCCCCGCCGCGGAACGAATATCGGGAGCATCCAGAACGGCCGATTCCTCAGCCAGAACGAAGATTACCGAGCGACATTCCTATCTACAATATCGAAGTTCAAAGTGGAGTGAAGCGTGCGCCTCGCGAATTGAATATCCGAAGGAATATATTTTCGGCCCGGTGTTTCCGTCGCGATCCCTCTTCGCCTCGTGTCACGCAGTTTTCAAGGGAACCTTCGAAGTCACCCTTCGAAGTAAGAAATTCGAAAATACGAATGTGTAACGTTGGTCCCCGAGTGGATAGGAATTCCCCGAAATTTCAGTGTACACTGGAGCAACGGATCCTCACAATGAATGATCAGTTGTTAATCGTTTATCGGTGCGCGTCGCAAGCAAACGGCTATCAGGGACTTCGTTTTCCAGCGATCCGTCGCTGGGGACGTTGAAAACGGGATTTCGCGGTGGACGTTCGGGATGTCCTCTGCCGGCGACCGGCTGTCGAAGAGATAGCGGACGCGGGATGCTTGCTGATACAATGACATTGGTCGGAAGAGTGGAGGAACACCGGCGCATGTTGGTCGACAGCGGCTGATAGCGAGGGAATTGGATTAGAGAAACGTGATCGCGACCGGCCGATTAATCGATCTGTGCCTTCGCGAGCTTACCCCGCGTGCAACCGCGAAGAGGAGAAACACGTCCCGCGGGAATTTTAGAGCCCGGGAAAGATCCTGCGGCTGATTCTTGCGGTTTCTTATTTTTCGAGAGTGATCCGTCGAAGAGGATAATCGGTAATTTATCGCTTTTGATGGAATGAATGTGGAGAGGATTGGATTAAGGTATTTTCTTTAAGAGGATCGTCGAAGATTCTGAAGACATATCGTAACGAAACGCTGATTCGTTCGCCGCCGACTTTCGGAGAGACTGAAATGTTACAGAAGGCTGAAATCTTGTTATACAGGAGAGATTCTTAAGACTCGCAGACTTCTGTTCGGAGGTTGGAAATATAATTATCTGCTTAAAATCTCCCGAACGCTGGTATCCCGTTCGATGATCTATTTTAGACAAGCGCGTGTCGTTCCGGAAATAAAAGGAAAATCGAGGCTTCGTTTCTAAGTGGGTCGTCGCAGAGAGAAAGTAAGCATGTTAAAAGACTGTTCGAAGACACTTTTGAAAATTCATTACACTTAATTTGATCATTGATTTGATCAACAAAGGCGAGAATAATAATGAAAGTTCTCGCAAGTTTGTGCGAGTGTTCTAGTTTGTAAAAATACGTTCAGACTGACAGGCTACCTCAAGGAAGCTACTGAAAACGATCAAACACGGAGAATTCGAGAAACATCGGAGTGAATACAATGAAACACGTGTAAACCTTCTTGAAAGTTAACATACAAGATCTGGTTTATTCTCCACAAACTTTCATCAAAACATCGAAGACTCGAGGAAGGATCATTTCAAACATTCGAATTTCTCGAAACCGTATCAAACCTTTAAGATCACAGATCCATTCCGATCGGCTCGCTGATCAGTTCCAGAACTTGGAAATCTGTTTCCTTTTCACAACTTTTATCTACACGTCAAATCGAAGATTCGAAGGAGGATCTCTTCAAACGTCGTAAACCAAAGACTGTTCTAATCGGATCGTTGATCTTTTCAATGGCCTGAAAACCACTCGTTACAGCTTCGATCTAAACCCCAAACCGAGGATTCAAGATAGGATCTCTTCACAGACCAAAGACTGTTTCGATCGAATTGCTGATCTACTAGAGAGCTTTGAAATCAATTTACTCGTCGCAACTTCTAACTCTTCCAACTTTGCAAATCAGAGATCTATTCCCCTCGGATCGATAATCTGTACTACAACTCGGAGACCGGTCTGCCTCCGAAAATAAAGGTGAAAAGCCGCGCGGATGATTCGGAAACCAGCGGTACGAAAGACAAAAAGCGCGCGGGAGGAGTGCCTCGAGGTGGCCGAGAATCGAACGCGCCCTGGATACTATTCTAATCCGCGTCCTTGAGGAACGAGTAGGCCGACCGGCGTTGTCTAGAAGCCTGGAACTTGGCCGTGGCCGATTGATCGCCCGGCAGGGTCTCTTCGCTGTACCAACAAACCGAGCAGAGGGAACCTGAGGATACCAGGAACCGTCGGCCACGAGCCGAAAATAAAAAGACCGGTGATTTTCATCGACAAAATAATCGCCTCTCTCTTCAGTCTTCCGAGGATTATCCGACCCGGTGGCCGTACGCGCAGCGACCCTTCGGGACTTGACCGAATAAATCAACCGGGGCCATTCTAAAAAAAAAGGTGAGCTAACTGTGCTACGCG